GAGATTACACTCATCCCAGCTGTCAGCATTTGATCAATGTGATAATTGAATATTGACTAATGTTCAAAGTCATTCTGGGGCTATTTCGCCTTCAAGAATGGTTGTTTTTTAGGATTGTTGGTAGTATATGTTGGGTATTTGATAATCATTTCCTCACCCATGAGTATTTTACTCAGTTTCAATTTTTTGTCAAAACCCAACACCCTCCTCCATCAGACTTTACATTGATAGCAGTGGCGCGACCAGCTCGATAATTTGGGGGGGGGGGCGAATATTCATATATTTGTGTGCACAGACCATAAAAACAATCGATTTCAAAAGAAGTTAATAATGCAGAACATGAAGATATGAATATTCCCCCCCCCCCGCCAATTATCAAGCTGGCGGCCACAGATTGATAGGTGCATTACAGTACATATTATCCAAGAATTATGTAAATATATACATGCCAAAACCATTTTGGCATTTGAGAAACTTCAAATGAAATTCATACAAAGCCAATGAAGTGGTGGAATTGAGTACAAAATTTAATATAACTGGCAGAGAAAAAATAACATTGTCATCATTAACCTGAAGTTCAGGCCAGGTTACATTATCATTTGAATTCTAGACATACCCAATTAATTCCGAAACGTTCTCATTCAGCAACACTGCCGAGAATAACTGGGAAAATTGTGTCTTCAGTTCTTCTAAATTCCACCTTTTATCGATCAGGAATGCATCAACCACGAAATTGTTAGTTTGTAAAAATACCTTTTTCTCCTTCCTTGGCAGTTCCCACGTGGGGCCTGGCAATAGGTACACATCTTTAATGTATTTTATATTCGATTCGCTTGGCTGAATTCAGTTAATACGCTTCCTTGGTTGTGTGGAAGGTTACCTCGCGCCTTGACGATTTCTCTGTGGCGGACATCTACCATAGTTTTGCTGCGAATTAAAGTTCAGGGCAATACTAGTCATTGCCTGGGAATTATTAACCATATTGGTGCCTGATGTTGACGGCATATTTTCCTGTGAATTCCCCCCACGAGGAATACGAAAACTATTATTTATTTCCTGATCGACGCCATCGAATCTGGTCGCTGTGTGAGCAGGAGTTGCAGAAGCAGGTGATTTTTCTTCCTGCGACATTAAATCTGCTTCGAACTAAGCGCTGAAGATCGCCGGAATATTGTCTTCCCTCGGCCATTTTTTAATAGTATTAATTGTATATAAAATGGCACCCAAAGCGCAGATTATGATGATTATTTAAATTTATTTAAATTATTTAAATTTAAGCATGCCATAATTTTTTTTAAGTCGAAATATGATAATTTATGTCTGTTAGTTTTATCAAGTTGAAATATGGTAATTTATTTTGACTTCGATTTTTTAATATTTTGACTTCGGTTTTAATATTTTGACTTCGGTTTTAATATTTCGACTTCGATGTTAATGTTTCGACTTTGATGTTAATGTTTCGACTTCGATGTTAATGTTTCGACTTCGATTTTAATGTTTGGACTTAGATTTTAACAATTCGACTTTTTTGTCCTCTATGAGCAAGCATACAAGTGCGAGGCATATTTGTGTCAGTGGCAATAACATTTCAGGCCAGTATGGTATATAAGACCAAGATGTTCCCAGTTGACAACAACGTGGTACAAGAGGCATACGAAAACATCTGTATCACCCAAGGAGAGCATAATTGAAGTAGGATCAAATTGGTTACATAAAATATATTGAACATGAAACCTCATTCTATCATCAGCATCTTTGTGTGTGCAATCAAGACAAGGGAATGGAGATGCACGTCCTGCCGTTACGAACAATGCTTTTGGAGATATACCAAGATATAGCGGTTTATTTCCGTCGTAGTTGGTTTTGAGCCATTCAACATAGAATGCCTGGAATGTGGTTTTGCTAATGGAAGAAGACCAAAAGTTCTCCAGTTTAATGGGGACTCTATGGTTTGGCGAAATCGAATCCAGAACAATAATTTCATTTGACGTTCCTCTTCTCTGTCTTCCTACATTCTTGATGCTGTCTTCCTTGTAAGTGTCGAAAACTATATGGATTTCCATCACTGTTGCACCCAGTGTTGCCGATTATTTTAATCAGGCAACTGCAAGGTCGTTGAATATCTTCACAGGTGGTTCCAGTTCCTTAAATGGGGTTTTTCTAACCATTGCCATGAAGTCGGTAATATAAGCTTTGTTTGGTGTTGTCAGGCCTTTTGCGTCTATTTCTGGACATAGCTTCAACAACTCTGTCCCCAACTGGGATTTCACGCTCTTTTTCACATAGCGATCCTTGTCAACCAAGAAGAAAGCGGAGCTGGTTATTTCATGGACGAGTAGCTCTTCTGCAGGGAAACCACAGTGACAACCATATTCAATAAATATCAGAGCTTTGATAGTCTTGTCTTTGATGTCTGCCTTTGAAGCCAAATGTTTTGAAACTGGAGGTGAGGAATATTTAATCTTGCTTATTGTGGAGTGTATGGAAACAAAAAGTCTTGTATACGATTTTCAACAAATTCAATAAAAGCACCACTAGGTTATCTTAGAGTACAGCACAACAGCTTGCTTAAGTCTACTTTGGACACAATCTCTCCTGTAAGGACATTCTTCAAAGTCTTGCACCAACTCTTTTATCTTCTTCGCACTACTCTGGTTAAAATTGTGATGAACAAACAGTTCTCCATCTACACCATCTTGCATCTTAAAAAGGTGAACGTATTCATCTTTCTTGTGTTTGATGATACCCCACAAAGCCACAGCGTCTTTCTTTCTAGTAACACCAATTATACCTCTGCTAACTTTAGCAGGTCGGTTGTAGCTTTGCTCCAGAGCTTGGTCAAACCGAACCCCACTGCCTGTTCTGTTGGTATTTACAACAAATCCGCCATTCCTGTATGAGCTTGTAGAGAAGTAGAAACTTATCTTTTAATTGATAACAATCCTGCAGGAATAAAGGTGTCCATCCAGAAAAGAAAAACAGCGAGGTTGCTCTCTCAACAGTGCTAAGATAAAGTATCCAGTCACCAGAACGCATTGAATTTGTAAGATCTCTTGCTATTCAAAAAAGCTCGAAAACATACCTAAACCAATAAGCAAATGACTGGAATTGCCGTGATTTTTCTTTTAGGTAATCTTGGATGTCTTCCTCGATTATCCTTTTGGATAATCGATTAACAAGCCACAGAAAATAGTCCAAACTGATCGATTTTATGGATGGAATGCCGCTTGCATCTGTTATTGGGCTTGTTGTTAAATGTGCGTCAGCTTCTGGTGTAGTTGTAACTGTCTCAGTTGTATTAGTGCCACTAGCAATTGATACGTTTCCAAAAGGACATTCATCTAAGGTTGAAGAATTAGGTTCACCATTCGATGTTACCACAGTGAATGTATCTTGTGCTGATACGTCTATCTCTCCTCTATGTTTCATTGGTCCCATCCGGATAAGTTCCTGACACTTCACCTTTGATCGTAGCCCGACTGAAATCCGATCTTGAGAAACAGGTAGCTTGTCTCTGATGAAAGAAAGACTGTATGCCGTGTTCTGAAAATCAAGTTCTGCAATTTTCAAGTTGTACTTGTTGACGTAGTCTTTACAACAATAGCTGTGATAGTAGATATCTACTGCAAAAACGTCTTCTGTACCACACATCACTGCTGTTTCGGTATATACATGATCTTGGAGCAACTTAGCTGCATTTAATAACTTTTGAGCGATTTGTTTTTCACAGATTCTTAGTAAGTTATGTACTTTCTGCTGCTTTACGGTCTTGCAATCTGAACCACAAATGACATATACCTGTTTCATATTGCTTGTCTTAAGCCTTTTTCTGTGTTGATCTTTGTCATTTTCCACATCATCGACTGTCACAGATGGTTCCACATCGTGCCTTTATAAATCTATGACCCTGTTAGCTCGGTTGCTATCACCACCATCTTCTTTTGCAAGAGAAATAATGCGTGCCCTGCCCGTTTCACTGCTCAAAAGACAATCGGATAGCACTTTTGTTTGACATAAAATACATTTGTCCAATCTTGTTGGTGTCGATGGTTTACATGTAGAATTACAATTAGCTACAAGGGGCACTTCGTCCTGAAAGTAATTGTGTGGTTATCAGGGGTAAAGCTCTAGCATCGCATTTTGCTGTCAAGCATAATTTTGCAAAAGAATGCATGCAAGGTTTAGTAGGACTCGCTCCATGCTTATATCAGGAGTGGATGCGTTATGCCAAAGCATTGAAACAAAAAAGGCCAACAAACGACGAACAAGCACATTAGGCTTTTAGTAAATGCGACATTAAGCCCATTTTCCACTGGGCGAATTTGTTTATGCAGACAGTAAATATATGAACTGACTAAAAAACAACACGAAAAATTAAGATTATATTTATACAGTCAACAAGACTAAATGAGCAAACTTATTGAATTCAATTACTTAGTTTCTAAAAGTGTTTTTACAAAATATTAAGTCTTTTTTATTTAGATGCATTTAAACACATGTGCATGTGTTATGGAAAACTCATGACTATTCAAATTGGCCAAACACGCCGCGGAAGCTGATTAACTAATGGAATTTGAGTAATTAACGTTGTTTTATGAATAAATAATGATGTACAATGCATAAAACCCTAGTTTACAGGTTGTAACTGCTCTTTCTGTGCTGATTGCCAAGACAGAGAAGTGCAAGATAAAGAAATTTACGGACTTTACAGTATGGCTCCACACTTGTTCGACCTCCTTGCACATTACAAGAAGCGGTACTTGCGACTTAATGCTGTTGCCCAACCGATTGATCTTGATTCCGCTCCGCCTCAGAATGAACCAGTTTCGCCGGTGAATGATCCAATTGAAAATGAACAGCTTCAGGCATCAAACTTGGACTTGGACGTGATTCTTTTATTCATATTGGTATTTGTCTGTATTGTAGCGTGTTTTTTGTGGGTCTAGTTAAGATTTTTGCCCTTTGGGTAGTTATATCGCTTTGTTAGCAGTATATGATCGGTGTGGCGAAGTTATTTTTCGTTGTATAACGCATGCATGCATGGTTCACTCGTGGGCGGCTGATCGGAAAATACGGCCGCCTCTTTTCTGTGTGTGTTTAACGATCGCTTACACTTGTGGTTTTAGTTACAGTTCTCTTGTATGTTATACATTATATCTTTATTTGATGTGTATTATTTCCGTCCTTGTGCGGGGTTATTTACCGTCAAGTTCGCTTTCGGTTCATATTTTAGTTCAGTTGAGATTGCGACGCATGAATGATTCCCGTCTGGTTTTAGCATTGTTCATTTTGTTAATGTTCTACGCGAGCGGGTCGTGTATTTCGCAAGATTCACTAATTGTTGAAAAGAACAATAGCTAGGCTATAGTGATTACCTTTCGCCTTTTAAAAATGGTTATTGGGTATTGTGTTTTCGTATGGTATGGGACGGGAGCGCATTGCACTGCATGATTGATTCACTCCGAGCTTCCGTCGTTTATTGCATTTGCTTGAGCGAAAGAGGACCACTATGTTTGCCGTATGACCGACGTGCATCTCGCACTACATAATTGCTTGCTTGCGACCGAGCACAAATTCTTCTATGGATTTAGCTGTTGCCAATGTGTTTGGCGTATGAGAGAAGTTCATCTCGCAATTGCATGATTGCTTGAGACCGAGCACGAGTAGCTACTTAATTTGGATTTTAACCAACGTTGCCAATGTGTTTGGCGTGTAAGAGCAATCCATCTCGCAAGTGCATGATTTCTTGCGACCGGGCACGGGTAGCGACTGAATTTGGATTTTCAACAAAGTTGCCAATGTGTTTGGCGTATAAGAGCCGTGCATCTCGCACTGCATGATTGCTTGAAACCGAGCACAAGTAGCCACTGAATTTGGATTTTCAACACAGTTGCCAATTTGTTTGGCGTATATGGGACGTGCATCTCGCAATGCTAGATTGCTTGAGACCGAGCACGAGTAGCTATCCTGAATTTGGATTTAAATTGCCAATGTGTTTGGCGTATATGAGACGTGCATCTCGCAATGCTAGATTGCTTGAGACCGAGCACGCGTAGCTACAGAATTTGGATTTAAATTGCCAATGTGTTTGGCGTATATGAGACGTGCATCTCGCAATGCTAGATTGCTTGAGACCGAGCACGAGTAGCTACTGAATTTGGATTTAAATTGCCAATGTGTTTGGCGTATATGAGACGTGCATCTCGTAATGCTAGATTGCTTGAGACCGAGCACGAGTAGCTACTGAATTTGGATTTAAATTGCCAATGTGTTTGGCGTATATGAGACGTGCATCTCGCAATCGGCTAGATTGCTTGAGACCGAGCACGAGTAGCTACTGAATTTGGATTTAAATTGCCAATGTGTTTGGCGTATATGAGACGTGCATCTCGCAATGCTAGATTGCTTGAGACCGAGCACGAGTAGCTACTGAATTTGGATTTACATTGCCAATGTGTTTGGCGTATGAGAGAAGTGCATCTCGCAATGCTAGATTGCTTGAGACCGAGCACGAGTAGCTACTGAATTTGGATTTTAAATAAAGTTGCCAATGTGTTTGGCGTATGAGAGACGTGCATCTCGCAATGCCTGATTGCTTGAGACCGAGCACGAGTATAGCTACTGAATTTGGCTTTTTAAATAAAGTTGCCAATGGGTTTGGCGTGTGAGAGAAGTGCATCTCGCAATGCCAGATTGCTTGAGACCGAGCACGAGGAGCTACTGAAGTTTGGATTTTAAACAAAGTTGCCAATGGGTTTGGCGTATGAGTGAAGTGCATCTCGCAATGCTAGATTGCTTGAGACCGAGCACGGGTAGCTACTGAATTTGGATTTTAAACAAAGTTGCCAATGGGTTTGGCGTATGAGAGAAGTGCATCTTGCAATGCCAGGTTGCTTGAGATCGAGCACGAGTATAGCTACTGAATTTGGCTTTTTAAACAAAGTTGCCAATGTGTTTGGCGTATGAGAGAAGTGCATCTCGTAATGCTATATTGCTTGAGACCAAGCAGGGGTAGGCCTGGTCGCTACTGAAATTGGATTTTAAACGAAGTTGCCAATGGGTTTGGCGTAAGGGAGACGTGCATCTCGCAATGCTAGATTGCTTGAGACCGAGCACGAAGAGCTACTGAATTTGGATTTTAAACGAAGTTGCCAATGGGTTTGGCGTAAGGGAGACGTGCATCTCGCAATGCTAGATTGCTTGAGACCGAGCACGAAGAGCTACTGAATTTGGATTTTAAACAAAGTTGCCAATGGGTGTGGAGTATGAGAGAAGTGCATCTCGTAATGCTAGATTGCTTGAGACCGAGCACGAGTAGCTACTGAATTTGGATTTTAAACGAAGTTGCCAATGGGTTTGGCGTTTGAGAGACGTGCATCTCGCAATGCTAGTTTGCTTGAGACCGAGCACGAGTAGATAATGAATTTGGATGTTAAATAAAGTTGCCAATGTGTTTGGCGTGTGAGAGAAGTGCATTTCGCCATGCTAGCTTGCTTGAGACCGAGCACGGGTAGCTACTGAATTTGGATGTTAACTATACAGTTGCCAATGGCTTTGGTGTTTGAGAGAAGTGCATCTCGCAATGCGTGATTGCTTGAGACCGAGCACGCGTAGCTACTGAATTTGGATTTTATACAAAGTTGCCACTGTGTTTGGCGTCTGAGCGAAGTGCATCTCGCAATGCTAGATTGCTTGAGACCGAGCACGGGTAGCTCCTGAATTTGGATTTTACATAAAGTTGCCAATGTGTTTGGTGTATGAGAAAAGTGCATCTGGCCGTGCCAGATGGCTTGAGACTGAGCACGAGTAGCTTCTGAATTTGGATTTTCAACAAAGTTGCCCATGTGTTTGGTGTATGAGAACAGTGCATCTCGCAATGCCAGATTGCTTGAGCCCGAGCATGAGTGGCTACTGAATTTGGATTTTAAACAAAGTTGCCAATGTGTTTGGCGTATGAGGGACGTGCATCTCGCAATGCCAGATGGCTTGAGACCGAGCACGAGTAGCTACTGAATTTGGATTTTAAACAAAGTTGCCAATGTGTTTGGTGTATGAGAAAAGTGCATCTCGTAATGCCAGATGGCATGAGACCGAGCACAAGTAGTTATTGAATTTGGATTTTAAACAAAGTTGCCACTGTGTTTGGCGTCTGAGAGACGTGCATCTCGCAATTACATCATTGCTGGTGACCGAGCACGATTAGCTACTGAATTTGGATTTTAGAACAACTTTGCCAATGTGTTTGACGTATGAGAGAGGTGCATTTCGCAATGCATGATTGCTTGCGACCAAACAAAATTAGTTACTGCATTTGGATTTAAGGCACAGTGGCCAATGTGTTTGGCGCATGAGCAATGTGCATATTCCAAAGCATGTTTGCTTGAAACCCAGCACGATTAGATCAGTGAATTTGGATTTACGGCAAAGTGGGTGATGTGTTTGGCGTATCAGAGCAGTGCATCCCGAAATTGTATGATTGCTTGTGACCGAGCACGCGTAGCTATTGCATTTCGATTTAAGGCACGGTGGCCAATGAATTTGGCGTATGAGAAACGTGCATGTAGCAATGCATGATTGCTTGAGACCGAGCACGAATAGCTACTGACTTTGGATTTTACACGTTGCCAATGTGTTTGGCGTATACGAGAAGTTCATCTCACAATTGCACGCTTGCTGGCGACCGAAAACGGGTAGCTACTGAATTTGGATTTTCAAACAAAGTTGTTCATAGGTTTTGGCGTATGAGCGAGGTGCATGTCGCAATTACATGATTGCTTGAGACCGAGCACGAGTAGCTACTGAATTTGGCTTTTACATAAATTGGCCAATGTGTTTGGCGTATGAGAGACGTGCATCTCGCAATTACATGATTGCTGGCGAAGGAGCACGAGTAGCTACTGAATTTGGAGTTTAAAACAACTTTGCCAATGCGGTTGGCGTATGAGAGGGGTGCATCTCGCAATGCATGATTGCTTGCGACCGAGCACGACTAGCTACTGAATTTGGATTTACGGCACAGTGGCCAATGTGTTTGGCGTATGAGCAATGTGCGTCTTGCAATGCATGTTTGCTTCAAACCGAGCACGATTAGCTCAATGAATTTGGATTTAAGGCAAAATGGCCAATGTGTTGGCGTATAAGAGAAGTGCATCTCGCACTTGTATGATTGCTTGTGACCGAGCTTGAGTAGTTATTGACTTGGGATTCAAAGGACAGGCTCATGTGTTTCGCGTAGGCAATGATTGCATCCAACAATACATGATTGCTTGAGTGACCGAGCACGATTAGCTACTGCATTTGGATTTAAGGTATAGTGGTCAATGTGTTTGGTTTGTAAGAGCAGTGCATCTCGCAATTGCATGAGTGCTGGAGACCGAGCACGAGTAGCTACTGAATTTTGATTTTAAAACAAAGTTTCCGATGTGTTTGGCGTATGAGAGAGGGGCATTTCGCAATGCATGATTACTTGCGACCGAGCACGATTCGTTACTGAATTTGGTTTTAAGGTACCGTAACCGATGTGTTTGGCGTATCAGCAATGTACATCTTCCCATGCAGGTGTGCTTCAAAGCCAGCATGATTAGCTCAGTGCATTTGGATTTAAGGCAATGTAGCAAATGACAATGTGTTTGGCGTATACGAAAAGTGCATCTCGCAATTGTATGATTGCTTGTTACTGAGCACGAGTAGCTACTGAATTTGGCTTTAAGGCAAAGTGGCCAATGAGTTTGGCGTATGGGCGAAGGGCATCTCGCAATTGTATGATTGCTTGTGACCGAGTAAGAGTCGCTACTGACTTAGGATTGGAAAAAGCAGGTTCAGGGTTTCGCGAATGAGAGGCTTGCATTTTACAATACATGATTGCTTGGGACGAACCATGGCAGCCGTTGAATTGGAATTTGGAAATCATTTGTCAATGAGTTTAGTGCATGCGCGGGAGCGGCGTCTCGCAGTTACGGAATTTGTTTAGTGGTCAGTTGCTCATATGTTTGGGCAAGCAGAGACATGCATCTCCCAATAGACCCAATCCATGATTGCTTGGGATTGAGCACGAACATTGCAAATGCAAGAGGTGCATCTCGCAATACATGATTGCTTGAGACCGAGCGCACGCGCTTACTGCATTTGGATTGGACAGACAAGGGCCAATGTTTTGACGATTCAGAACAGTATACCTTCCTTGCCATACGCGAATCACCCAATTCTTGGGCAATATATGTTTTTCGAGTGTGTATGAAATTACAGATCTTGTGTTTGCGCTCGTTCGCTGGTTTTCGTTTGCATTTCTTGGGTTCTTTTTTCTTTCTTGGCTGGTGGGGGTCAACTTTCCCAGGGCTATCTAAAGCTCTTTGTGTTCGACTCTAGCAGTTGTGCCGGGACTGTTGCCCTTTTCTGATCCTTCCGGGGGGTGCTTTGGGGATTTACTTCTCTGTTCATCTTTTCTCTCGCCACTCGTTACACTTTGTTCCGTTAGCAGCTTCTGAGCGTCTTAAGAAGCGAGTCATTGGGTGGAAGTTTCTCCCGGGGACCAGACCTGTGGCATCAGTTCCGGGTTATTCTCTGCGTTCATTGTCGCTTGACCATGCTAGTCCACCTATCGCTTTTCACTTGCATTTTTTTTTCATACTGTCCATTGCCGGTTTGTTTGCTTAATAGATTATAGTTTGGTTTGTGTGTGTGGCACATGCGAATCGGCGGGGTTGTAGGGTATTTGAGCAGGGGGGTTTGGTATATGAGAATGGCGGCTTGGGTATATGAGAATGGGAGTTTGGGTATATGAGAATGGGGGTTTGGTATATGAGAATGGGGGTTTGGGTACATGAGAATGGGGGTTTGGGTATATGGGGGAGATGCAGTGTTGGGAGCGAGTAGTAACTGAACTGCGGAGGAATTCATTTCCGTGCTTCATTTGGAAACAATGGACCTTCCTTTTCCCCAATGCTTAATCAGTGATCCGTGGCGGAATGGCCATTTGGATATTTTACTATTCAAATTGGCCAAACACGCCGCGGAAGCTGATTAACTAATGGAATTTGAGTAATTAACGTTGTTTTATGAATAAATAATGATGTACAATGCATAAAACCCTAGTTTACAGGTTGTAACTGCTCTTTCTGTGCTGATCGCCAAGACAGAGAAAGTGCAAGATAAAGAAATTAGGACCGGAAAAGGGAGGGGGGGGGGCGAGAAGGAGGGGGCTGCGTCAGGGTGTTGTTTACTCTTGTGTGTTGTAAAAACGCCCACCCTCCCACCCTTCTGTTTCCCATCCTTGTGGCTTTCTGCTGCGGATCCATTTCCGTGTTTCATTTGGAAACAATGGACCTTCCTTTTCCCCAATTCTTAATCAGTGATCCGTGGCGGAATGGCCATTTGGATATTTTACTATTTACATTCGATTCTACACATTCGACACGTGGACAGTGCATGCTATAGTTCATTATCATTGTTATCTAGGATATATTGTTATTGTTATGTTAAATGCCGTAAATTTACTTCGTTTGTTTGTTTATAAATATATACTACAGGGTGTATCAAAAAAATGTACACCCTTTCAAATTCAAATTAGCCATAACCTTTTAAATATTCGTTGCTCTGCAATAAGCTGGCTCATTTTATATCTTATGCAGACTTGAATAATGCTTAATTTAAACACTTTTCTTTGAGGTGTGCATGTATTTGTTCATACAAATAGAAGTTATCCTAAATTCCATGTGCAGAAGACCTTGTGTTTTCACGCATTCATTCATTCGATAAATTATACAGCTGTCAAATTACTACAATAGATTACGTTTAATTTGAATTTGAAAAACTACTACCTTAAAAAACAACCACTCAGTACAGCATTTTCACATTCGTACTACCCACATTGAAAAATAAAGTCAGTTTTTAAGCCGCCTGGTTCACATATAGGTATGCTGGCGGGCTATTGTTGTTAGCAATTCAACCAAATAATTCACAAAAGATTGATCAACAGCTGTAAACAATGATAGCGCCGGCATACCGCAGGCGTATGTGAACCAGGCTTTATATCAGGTTGTGAGAGCTCTACTCGCTTCAACTTCACACTTTTGCCTTGAACATGAATGAACTAAGAACCAATGAGTTTTACCTAAAGAAACTATATCGCTCCGCTCAAGTTACTGATGCTGACAAGGTAAGAAACTGGACTGATATTAAATGCACCAAGCCTGCCAAAGACATATAAAAAAAGTCAGACTGATTTAGAAGCTATCAATTTATTTAGGTACCAATAACGAACCATGCAGTTTCTACCATGATGCATCAGTAAAAACCATACACAAATATGAAGTTTCTTTAGAATGCTGAATACTAACGTTTTAGTCTCAAAATATTTCCTCGAACAAGAGATGATGTAGCCACTAGACCACTTCCCAACAACATTTAATAATTAAGCGCTAGACTTTTGAAAGTGAGTTTGATTTAATTTTATGGTTTTTTAACTTCGGAGCTATTCTGTAGACAAACTGAAATAAAGTCGTTGTTTTTTAAGGATGGTGTGATAACTCGTGCTGATTATGACCTCATGATCAAGAGATACAACGAGCTTGGTATGCCAGAAGAAAACAAACAAGAATTATCTGACGCCATGTACGGGATGTGTGGTTCCTTGGGTCTTACAGATTACTCTAAGTCCTTGACATACGACGAGATAGTGCAGTCTTGGATTGATAACGTGGAGAAGGGAGGTGGCTTTGCGACCGTTGTTTACGATAAGATATTTCGAATTGTTGATATATACAAACAGAGATGGAAGTATATCTTTGAAAGAGTGGGAAATTCATTGCATGGCTATTAATATCCCTGTAGAGCATGCTGAACCATCGTTTAAAGCGATGGACACTGATGGAGATGGAGTGATCTCTCATGATGAATTTGTAGCTTATCACTATGAATATTTTCATACAAGTGAAGATAAACTACATAGTTCCCATTTGTATGGACCATTGCAGTAAAATAATTATTAAGGCACTGGAACGCAAGGAATTTTGACAATGGATTCACTGTAGCATGAGAACAAACTAATATAATAAATTTGAAATCTGATTAGCAGAACGAAAATCTTAAATAGCTATAAGTAGCATTATTACTAATATTATTATTAATACATTTCATCCTTATCATTATTACTAAATTTTGAACAATTAAAAAATCCAAAGGGAATAAAATATATTCATATATACATAAAGTACCATTGTACCTTTAATTATACAGTTGAATATTGTGCAGAATATGGTTGTATTTTAGTTTTTAACTTTACGTAGTCGCAGACGTTGTCCTGAAGCGAGATTCCACAATTATACATGTGATGCTACCTTGATAATCTGATGGCCCTGTAGCTTTGAATCCTGTGAGACTAAAGCGATAGTTCTACATACAGCAATTTCAATTAAGATTGTCCCCGAGCAAAGCGGAAAAGTCGAATACGAGCGTGAAAGGCTTGCAGAGAATCGCTAAAAATTAATAATTTTTTTTTTGCGATTCACAGCAAGCCTTTCGCGTTCGTATTCAACTTTTCCGCTTTGCTCGGGGACAACCTTAATTGTAACAGCTGTGTACCTATATCTCCTAATTTATGTGTTATAAGTGAGTTTGGCAAATATAACGACAACGTCAACGAAGACGTGTTCAACAGCAATAGAATTTTACTCTTGGGTATTCTAGTGCTGCGCTTTATAGTTGTTGAAACTGCTGCGTTATTTACATCATTGGAATTTGTCTCATAACCACGCCAACAGTTCGCGTGCGCTGTTCTTCACTGACTATTGCTACCTGAGGGTTGTTTGGAAAGAATGATAAGTACTTTTTATGATGCAAGTAGGCTCGCATACAGAAATGTCATTTTGTTTTCTGTCGTTGCCGTTGCCTGCTGCCAAGCTGTGTATTCTCCAAACACAATACTGCAGAAGAAATAAAAACATTGAGACCTTATTAATCCCCGCTCAAACGAGGATGTGAGTTGATTGAGAGTTGTCAGTCCCGCATTATATATTACAGGGAACATTTGAAGCACTAGATCTAGATTAAAAAATAAATGTTTGTTATGCGTGTTCCAACCACGTTTTAACTTATTACAATAAATCGTTTTTCTTCACATTGCAACACAAGTTCGGAGACAAGTTAGTTGGTAACACCCTGGTTGAAGATCTTGGCAAGATCTTGGAAGATCGATCTTGCATGATCTTGGAAGATCATGGCAAGGTCTTGGCAAGACACTAATCTTGGCAAGATCTTGCCAAGATATTACCCATATCTTGCCAAGATTATTCAATCTTGCCATACTTGCCAAAATCTTGCCAAGATTGTCCGAAATACTTGTCAAGATCTTGCCAAGATCTTTCATGATTTTTCGTCATACATAATTCTTGCTGAGTTGTATTTTTCGACCTTCATAAGTATAGGTATAATGAACCTTGATCAAACCAATCACATATATCACAACATTGCCAATACTCTATCATGATCTTGCCATGATCTTGGAAGATCTTGTCAAGATCCCACCATGATCTTGCCAAGATCCCACCATGGTCCTTGCCAAGATCTTATCACAATCTTGCCAAGATTTTATCATAATCTTGCCATGATCTTGCACAATCTTGGCAAGATTCCACCATGATCTTACCAAGATCATATCAAAATCTTGCCAAGATCCTATTGTAATCTTGCCATGATCTTGGAGGATCTTGTCAAGATCCCACCATGATTTTGCCATGATCCCACCATGATTCTTGCTAAGATCTTATCACAATCTTACCAAGATTCTATCAAAATCTTGCCATGATCTTGGACAACCTTGCCAAGATTCCACCATGATCTTGCCAAGATCTTGTCAAAATCTTGTCAATATCCTATCATGATCTTGCCATGATCTTGGAAGATCTTGTCAAGATCCCACGATGATCTTGCCAAGATCCCGCCATGGTCCTTGCTAAGATCTTATCACAATCCTGCCAAGATTCTATCATAATCTTGCCATGATCATGCACAATCTTGGCAAGATTCCACCATGATCTTACCAAGATCATATCAAAATCTTGCTAAGATCCTATTGTAATCTTGCCATGATCTTGGAGGATCTTGGCAAGATTCCACCATGATCTTACCAAGATCCCACCATGATCCTTTCTAAGATATTATCACAATCTTGCCAAGACTCTATCATAATCTTGCCATGATCTTGGACAATCTTGCCAAGATTCCACCATGATCTTGACAAGATCTTATCAAAATCTTGCCAAGATCCTACCATAATCTTGTCATGGTCTTGAAAATCTTGACAAGATCTCACCATGATCTTGCCAAGATCTCAGCATGATCTTGCCAATATCTTACCAAAATCTTGCCAAGTTCCTATTGTAATCTTGACATGATCTTGGAGGATCTTGTCAAGATCCCTTCATGATCCTTGCTAAGATCTTATCACAATCTTGCCAAGATTCTATTATAATCTTGCCATGGTCTTGGAAGATCTTGACAAGATCTCACCATGATCTTGCCAAGATCTCAGCATGATCTTGCCAATATCTTACCAAAATCTTGCCAAGATTCTATTGTAATCTTGCCATGATCTTGGAGGATCTTTTCAAGATCCCATCATGATCCTTGCTAAGATCTTATCACAATCTTGCCAAGATTCTATTATAATATTGCCATGGTCTTGGAAGATCTTGTCAAGATCTCACCATGATCCCAGCATGATCTTGCCAAGATCTTATCTATCTTGATCTTGGAAGTTCTTGACACAAGCTCTTGTCATGATTTTACCATGATCATACCAAAAATGCCATGATTTTGAAAGATCCTTGTGAAAGGAGGCTTTTACGCGCACAGTTGCTCTCGCACATTTGCGTGCCAGATCCAAATGACTGAAATGAGATCAATTAATCAATATCTGTAAATCTTGTTATCTGCGCATTTTTCGCATATTTGTGGTAGACAACCGTTGGTAAAAGCCCCAAGGCGCGTTTTATAAGTCAAACATACAAGGTACACGGCAGTTTATACTTCTGTTCCTCGACCTTGTTGCTGCACTAAAGAAGAAAGGATAACTTGTCGAGCTGTCTTAAATAAAAAGTAAGTGCTTACAACCTATTTTGTACCCAGCGGCAACACATTATTTGCATATTGAATGAATGAGCGCTAAGCAATTCGATTACCACATGTAAGAAATGTTTCAAGCTTTTTCAAATCACCCTTAATACAAACGGCTAAGTTAATCGTCTAAAGCAATGTAATGCTTGCTGTAATTTCGACTTTAAATAATTTTAATAACACCTCTTCATTGGTCGCAATAAGCTTTTACGTTGCTTTAAAAACGTGATAATGCCTAGTTTAACGTTTTGTTAAGAATGACAAAGCCGTTGAGAATACCCCTGGGACCACAAATTATTATATTCACACAGTTTTATATTTATTACACAGCTTTTGCGCTACTGAAATGTCCTGATAATCGTAGTGATGACAGGTCCAGTGCGCAAACATCGTAAATGCACGGTTAGGTGGAAAACGCGGACATGCGGACACGCGGACATGCGGACATGCGGACACGCCAGTCAAGTGGAAAACGCGGACATGCGGGCGCGGACACGCGGACACGCAAGTCAAGTGGAAAACGCGGACATGCGGACACGAAATTTACTAAACTTCAAAAAATCTATTACGACAATAATTAATAATTTTCGCGTGATATTGAAAGTTATCAATGCCGAGGTTGTATTTTTCTCTCTCTTTTCTCTGTCTTAGTTTGTCAGCTCGTTTAGTGTATTTCGCTTCTTTTTTTAGTTACAAAAACAAATCTCGCCATGGGCCATGGCTTTATATGTTCTGCATGTAAAGAAGCTCGTTTTCTGCTGGCAGAATTGATGTCATATTTACATTCAGAAAGCTATATCTGCAGGTGTGATGTCATAATTACACAATCAATTCCATGTATTTTACTTACAGTATTGAAGATTCTGAAAAATCCACACAGAATCTTTACAAAATACAAAACAACGGCAATTCAGAAAACGTTTTCATATATTCAAGTTTCAACTACATATGTTTTAATTGTCATCACGAATGATACTGGGTTTTATTTTATAAGTGAGGAATCACAGAGTAATTTGATATACATACACATACGTATATATTATCAGGTCTTTTGATGCTTTACTTCCCTGCTTCAAGGTTAAGTTCTCAGTGCAAAATTGTTCTGAAGCCCTATTATGCTCGAAATTATGCCACATAATTTACCCAAGCCTAGCCTATAATCCATTAAGTTTCAGGTTGTCCGGAACAAGCGGTAGGAAGACATTCTGCCCTTAAAATAGAACCCTTCAAATGAATTAAATCTTCATTCAGACAAAACTTTCCCTGTAAAATTTGCCAGAATTTTAGTATCGAAGCACACTTACTCGGCTAAGTTGAATGCACTTAATTAAACAAATGAGTTAACTTTCGGTGCTATAAATATAACTCAAGTTATAATAAGTATTTTAATAAGTTTTGTCGCTCTCCAATATCCCTCGCTTCAAGTGACAAAAAATTCGTTTTGATATAGATATATTTCCTGACCTTCGGCATATTTTGACCCACGACCTTTAGCCAAGCTCATTAATTAATCACCCATTGTGAGGAAGGATTAAAAAGGATTAAAGGAGGTGCGAAATGTCAAAATGGACGGGCATTCTATACAGGGTGTATAAAAAAAAAACGCAACCTCGGAATTTCCCAAGAAATCGACATGGTTTTAAAGACAAAATATTTTAGGCGCCTGGGAATTTAAAATAGCACAACTGTCAAAATTATTGCACACGCGAGTGCATAAAGCAAAATTTATGCATTTATTTAATGCACAACAACAGTAATAAGATCTATTAGCAATTCGATTTCAATTCCCAGGGGCTTAAAATCTTTTATGCTTAAGAATTGCAAAATGATTTCTTAGGAAATTCCGAGGTTGCGTTTTTTTTATACACCCCGTATATATATATATATATATATATATATATATATATATATATATATATATATATATATATATATATATATATATATATATATATATATACTAATTATAACCTTAAAGAGGGGTTACAGTCCGTGCTGCGCATGTGCGATTCCTTTTGTTTTGGTAGACTACTTATCTCTCGTTTCCATGGTTTCCAGTTCGATTGCGTAATATACGCGCGATTCTATATTTGTTGATACAAGGAGTGGGAATACACAGTTTCGAAGAGATTTTCAACGATTTGTGACTTTTATGAAGTGAAATCCGATTAATAACAAATCATTGAAACAATATGAGAAGAAGGAAAGAATATTACGCCAACAAGGATGCCTTTAAAGTGTGTTTATTTGAAATTCAGTCAAGCGCTTCGCCATGTCGTACATATAAAGGTAAATATTTGTTTATACATTTGATTATTTCGTTCTCCTGAGTTGAGACTGGATCACTAATTCGCTGTGAATTTGTGACAATTTTTAAGCTAGGGCAATTACATTCATTTACTGTCTGAGAAAATATGGGATCTCTGAGTTTTATAGTTCAACTTGTTCAAGACATGTATAGACTAATATAGTACTTGAAATCTAATTTAATCACCTCAGGCTCAGTACTAGATTCAGTCAAGGATAAAACTGATTTCATCTTTATATGGTGAGCTGTTATCAAAATGCTACTGGGATTGAGTTATTGGATGATTATTGTTTTGTAATTCATAATCATGCATCTCCAGATGAACTTTTTGGTAGCAGCATATATTTTTTTACATCGGACATGATTGTACTGTATGTTGGTACTGTGTAGCACTTTTGTGTGATTGCATATTTAAAATTAATATCACTACTGCACTCGACAAAAATGTACTATGTTGAATGACATGGCATAATTGTTTGTGAACCTTCAAAAAATGCATAGTGTAATCTTTATAAAGGGTATATACCCCATGTAAATCTTTTTTTTGGAAACATTGATACTGTAGGTTCTCATTCATGGAAAAATTGAGGACAATTTGCACATCACCACCACCATATTCATGGCTACACCCACCAATATCTGGACTGCTGCAACTGTAGACATTGTGTTCCCCATGCCGACAGGAAGAAAATATGTGCTCTGTTAGATCAAGATAACATTGTATATGTAGAATACTGTTGTTCCAAGAAATTGTTTTGAGTCGGATGTTTTACAGTGCGTCTACAGTAAGTGGGGCCACTTAGAGAATACTAACCAATCGCATTGCAGAACAAAAATTGGAAAAATC